TTCCTGCAGGGAGACACGCGTGTCCCCAAGAGTTTTCCTCCACACAATACTAAGCAGTGCTGCCATCTCTCTTCTTTTCCCTCCATCAGGACAAAGCACTGAAAAAACTCCTGCCCCAACAACAGCAGCAACCACAGCAACTACAGGTAAGGAGCAAAAGTCCTCAGTCAGTCCATCCTGAGGACAGATTGGAGTAACTGAGTCCCAGGGAGCTCTACATCTCCCACATGGTGGTGCTGGGGAGCCCCATGCTGGTGGATCAAAGCTCCTGGTGGGGTCACTATGAGGAGGGGAAGCCTGCTCACCCCTTCAGCTCTTCCTCCATGGTGGCCTTGGATGAACATGTCCTTCCTGCTTGCACCCCACATTCCCACTGCACCTGCCCACCCTCTGGCCATTGCTGGGGGCCCATTGAGCAGACAGTCCCAGAAATCCTCCATACTGTGTCAAGTCCCCATAGGATTCGAATGGTCCAGGGTCGACAGTGTGTCCCTGGGCAGATTTCTGTCTCCCCCTGCACTCTTCAGTGGTTACCTTTGTGTCAGGGGGAAAGCCTGGGGGCATTTTCATAAGTATTGTTGCTTTCTGTTTGGCATCTCTTCCTCTAGAAAAAGAATTTGGCTTCAACAGGAACTCTGGAAACACAGTATCTGGAGATGAGCCCCCCAGCCAATGGGACTTCATTAAGTGTTCTCCTTTTCACTTTTTGGGGGCTGAAGGATAGTTACTGTGTTTTTCCCATTGTACAGTAAATCTCTGCCTCGTCTATGAGGAATTACATATGGAGCTTAGTGAAAGAAACAAGGCAGAGTTAAAGTCAGTATTTGGTGTCTTGGAAAGGAAAAGTAATTACCATCCTGTATACAATGTATATTGAAATAAAACATTTAATTACTTATAAACTAATCAATTATGTATAGATATGAAATACATACTCTAAAATCCTTACAGAATATATAATTACTTAGAGAGATTATAACTGTGACCATTTTAGGTAAAGAGCATACCCTATAAAAAAAGACAGCTGGTGACTGTCCTGAAGCACTGCAACAAATTCCTTAGCAGCATACTGTGATATCTGTTGAGATATATATACTATGGTGATTAACTTGGAGCCTTCACTTTAATAATATGTCTGCAGTAAAGGACTCTACCATGACACTGTGTTATAATAAGGCAAGTACATACCAGTGCAGTATTAAAAGACACGGAAGCTATTGCAATCAGCCTTTTTCTAACTTAGTCACTGATTTTGGTAACCCTTGATACACTTTTTTAGTTTGTTTTTGGTTTAGTTATATCAAGTAGAGTTAAATTGTGAATGTTTAGTGTGACAGATAATGAATTTCGGCCTTACTCTGTGTCTTCACTGTGATATCCTGCCCGATTGTGCAGGGAAAACAGTTACTACACAGACATTAAGGAAGCAAGACATAGCCATGTGCTCTTTAATTGCATCTATACTGTATAAACATGCCTGGTAGTTTCCTTTAGTAGAAGTACATTTGAACTATTTAATACATGAACTACTTTCTATATGAAATGGTTATTGCAATTTCATAGAAATCCTGATGTCATTGTCTTTCATCTTTGTATCAGGGGACTTCTGCAAACCAGACCCTTGTGGAGAAAATTTGGCTAAATGTGTTGCTTTGTATAGCACTTTTACCTGCTTGTGTCCATATGGATTCTACTATAACAACAAGGATTGTCACAGAGGTAAGTTGCAGAAGGGCAATCTATATTCTTAGTTACTTCACAGATAATTGCTCGGGTGAATTTTTCTTCCCATATCCCTTGTTCTCATACTATAAGTGAAAACATAACCAGTCTGGGAAAGTGACTGCTGAATAATGCCTTGCTTTGCAGACAACCATTGCTACAACGACCTAGATTGTTATCTCACAAAACAGTAACAGCCAGAGGTTAATGTGCTAGGGAAATACGGTGAGTTCTCTGTCAAGGGTGCTGGAGATTAAAATGAGTGAAAAGCAGGAAAAAATGCAAGTGTAAATTTGATATCAATATTAATAGCCAGGATTTGAAAAGGCCCAAACCCATGAATACCTATGAACAACTGGCTTGATTTTTGCTGTTGCAAAAGACTCATCACAGTCCTGTTGAAATGCATCTCTGAGATGCTGCTGAAGGCCAACCGTTTGAGCAAATGGGGCTCCTTACTTAAGTGCCAGCAAACAGGATTCTCGAATTTACTTACAAGCCTAAAGAAACAGGTAGATTCTGAATTGCTTTCTCAGATATGGTGAACCATTTCAGCTGCTCAGTGGCTGCAAATTTGGAGTCCTTAATATAGGTATTTTCTCACTAAATGCTGTAACACCTCAGATGGAGTCTTTTGTCAGCCTCAGGCCATGCTTACAGTTTAATGTTATTCAGTTTCATAGTCTGGACATTTGGTTGAGTCCAGGATCCTGCCGGCTTCCCAGGTAGCCATAGTACATCCCTCGTTGTGGCTGAATGGCTTGAGCAAACATTTGTTCCCCACTGATTCCTCCAGTATATGAAAAATAGCACTGATTTCTGCGTTGCATTTCCCCATCTCAGAAGGCTGGAGAACTCTAAGGTGAAACCCAGCTTACTGAAATGCTTTCTAATTAATTAATTTTCTCTGTTCTCATTCCAGGGAAAATATACCCAGGGGTCATTACACTGGAAGGATTTTACACTAATAATGTTGAAACTGTAAATTCCATGGAGTATGAAAAGGTGTTCCAGTATGTAATGGAGTTTGTGAGTGATGATTTTTTTTCTGTGTATTTAATGCTACCTTGAATGTCATGCAGACAGAGGGGATACACGCTGCCTTCAATGTAGAGCCTAGAATAGTTTCACTTGAGAAACCTACTTCTTTCAAAGAATATTTCACTCTAGTTTAGACCTCTTCATAAAAGGCTTGAATTTTGCCCTCAGATAAGTACATGCATGGCTCTTGCTGAAATGAAGGTTTGTACCTGAAGTAAGTAATATCTGCATTTTCAGTGCCACTTCTGTTCCTGGAAGTTCTCACATAAATTGCTCTGTATCATTCACCATTCCTTCTCTAGAAAAAATGGGGCTGAGCAAAGTTTTTCAGCCCATTTAGTTTCTGATCTCTGCTGTTGGCTGAGGGCTCTGTAACACTTAGTGGCATGAGTAAAAATGAATAATTTATTTTTTTTTTAAAGAAAGCTATTGTTTCCACACAGCACAAACTTTTCAGAATGGCTGTCCAGCTGTGTCTAAATACCTAAATGATAAGCCTCTTCCATAAGCATACCAGTATTAGTATTTTAGTGCTATTAGTGAAATGGATATTACACATTTTGAACATGCTATGATCATAGATAAAATCTCGTAATGGATTTCCTGGAGAAATAAGATGAACTGTTTGATTTATACTGCCATGTTGAAACAAGTGGAATTGCTTATGTCGCTTTCTGGAAGTAAGGAAGAAGATGTGTGCAACTCCACCAGAGAGCTGATCAAAAAATATTCACCAAATATTAATCATAATTCATCAAAAATGGTTATCAAATTCTTCATGTTATTATGTTGCTTCCTATGAATGTTTTATCACAAAGTATCCAAAAATTGTCCCTCCAGAATGTTAAAAAAATCTTCCTCAATTTTTTTGTCCAACATTTTTTCATGATGTGGCTGCAGAAATACATAATATGCGGCACTAGAGTAGACATGTAATAGTATTCAAAAGTGAAAATAGCACAGAAAAGAATTTTATTACAAAGAAGGATAGATTATCTTTCATTTCAGTTGACTTAAGACATCTTAGCCATTTCTCACGGTGTCTCCTGCTTGCGTGCCAGTTGGAGGCACCTGCCTCCACCAGTTGTTCCCTGCTTCGCAGGGGATGAGGGAGAGCAGTGACTTTTATACTGACCCCATCCAACCCCGAGTGCTCCCATCAGTGCTGTGCTTCTCCCCACAAGAACAACCCCTGACGATTCCACTTCACTGTGTCTTAGGGACACATGCCATCCGGAAGGATGCCTGCTTCTCCCTCCTGTTGCTACTTGTACGTAGGTTGGTACCACAGAGACGCCTTCTAAGCAATGAGTCTGCAAGGCAGTATCTGTGGCTATCCAGCCAGCCAACCCTAATGCACTGCCTGACATGCATTCAATTCACGTCTCTCCATCCTTCCACTGGTCTCCCATATTCCCTGTTCTACAGCACCACCCCACTGCTCCTCTTCTGCAATACCTTGCACAGTGGAAGTGACAGATTAGCTTGCTTTATTTGTGCTTATAGTAGAATGTTCTGGATGAAAACTTTCCAGTTGCAGCCTCAGTGGTTCATGTGATTTTGGTCTATGTTTCTGCTTGCTTTTGACTCCAATTCATTTATCTTTTATAGTTTCAAGATGCCTTCAAAGACTTAGAAGGCTTTGGACAGACTGTCATCGTGGGAATTCGGTAAGTTTGCCAGGTTTTGCACAGTACATGCTTCCCATTTTAATCTGTTTCCCATGGAGTACTCAGTTCAAGAAAGGATATGGGGTAAGTTCAGTTCAGTATGCCTTCTGTTAAATGAGGATATTATTTTCATATTTTTAAAGTTTCTGGGATAATGGCATCCTTTTTACTCTGGGGATTTCCAATATGTCTGTGAAGTGGGCTGACTGAGACAACAGTGGATGTCCCACTTTTAGCACCATGTAGGATATAGCACTGTGCTATACCTAGCAGCCCCTGTGATATCTGACGTGTCTGAAATTGTAACAGTTAACTCTGAAGTTCTATGAACAGGTCCATCTTGGAGTCCCAGTTTAATTTAAGATTTGATACAGAAGGCCACTGGATCTCATTGTGCATTTGCTGGTCTCTTCTGGAGGCAGGCTGAGCATGGATGTTATTGAATGGGCTGTAGTGACTGTAGCTGTGGACATAGGTCCTTTGCTGATCTGGGTGGATGCTGTAAGATGTCCCTCTCTTCCTATCCCCGCCTGTTACAGGTTACTGTCCCCAGAGCTCTGCCAGCTTCTCTGTGAGTGCTCCCTAACCCACATCAGGCAAAACCTGGCATACTAGCACACATGGCAGTGTAAACCCTCTCAGCAAACCACATGGATTAAGCAGTTAAGCAGACTGTTGTTCTAGCAGTGTTGTGAGGGCAGCAACTTCCAGCAGAGTGGTTGTGACAAATACATGGGGCACAGTAACATCTTACGGCACTACAGCTGTCTACCACTTTTGTGTGCATATTCCAGCAACAAGAAGTCCAGCTGAAGAACAGGATAGCCACTGCTGTTCTCCACCTCACCCAGGGAGACTGCTGTCCAGCTAAACCCAACCCAGCTAGCATGCAGTTAGCACAGACACCCCTGCATTGCAAACAGACCCTGCTGAATTAATTGCATCTAAAAGTTAGGGTCTAACAGATGAGGTCCTCCACACTGCAGCTGGCTTGAGGTTAGCCCAGTAAAAAAAATCAGTTGTGTGCCAAAAGCACACAAAGGAGTGATGTTAGCACTAAATCCAACAGCCTTTGCTTACCAGCTACCTATTTACATTTGGATCTACTGTAAAGATGGCCATTAATGTATTCCTAAGCAAGACTTAAACTCATTTTCAGGTGTCTCAGCAACTACCTACACTGTGGGATGAAATCTTCTCTTGTCTTTGCATCTAGCTTGCTATCCACGTGGATTATATGAGACTTTAAAATGATGCTATCTATACTTTTCAGAACTCTGAAAGAAACCAGAGCTTCTTCTTCAATGCATGTAACAGTGACAAATCTGTTCATGGAGAACTCGACTGTAGAAAAGGAGACAGTTAGTTCTGCAATAAGAAATGCGACAGAAAATTCGACCTATGTCTCTGATTACAGAGGTATGTAATTCCTTACTGTGGAAGTAAATAATTGGTAGAAACAGAGGTTCCAATCTTCAAAGCTCTTTAGAACATTTCTGTGTGCAGTAAAGCCCACCAGAGCATAAGCCTTGTTCATTTTAAGGGGCTGAATATTCAATCTTAGGTAATTTTGAAGACTCAACCATTCAGTACTGGGCTTTTTTGTCTTATTAAGCCTTTCTACTTCCTGTGTAAAGAACAGAAGGAAAATATGTGTTCCCAAGTAAGCAATGGAATGTTGATTCTAATCTGCTGAGTGTTAAGTGGCTGAAAAAAATCAGACCAAAATATATACATGCTTCTGAGAACAGGCCAGTATTTTACTGACAAAATACGATGAAACTCTCTATAAACTTCTTCCATGATTTACCAAGATAATTGAAGTGAGATCTCACTGATTAGCTATCGAGCTAAGTAATGCATTGGTCTAAGTCAGTAAAGTCTTGTGTTACTGAAAGTGTAATACTTGGAGAAGGATTTTCTAAATACAATATGGATTTTTTTCTTTTTTTTTTTTTTTAATATGCTTTTATTTTGAAATAAGCTTTTGCAAAAGTTATAGCTGATAATGAAAAGAGTCCATTTCATGGCTTATAGTCCGAGTTTGGTCTTTGAAGGTGACTGTATCCACCTCAACTATGATATTTCCTGTGTGCTGGTCCTAAACATGAGGGGGAAATAGAAAAAAAAACCTGAGAGCTCACAAAGCACTAGGGCAATCACATTCTTCCACTGCATGCCACTCACTGAAGTTTGTAAACCATTCCCACCACCAGGACACGGATCTAAAGAGCAACATGCTGGGCAAACTGCATAATAATATTGCTCATGAAATGAGATGCATGCCCATAAATATTTATATCTATATAGAACTGTATGGGATCTGGACCTCACAGTTTGATTGTGATAAAAACTAAGGGAATAGTGCTGGGGTTTTTCTATAGATGTTTTTTTAAGGTGAGTCAGAAAGTCTGTGTTCAGATTATGAACTTATGGGTAGAATTTCCCTCCTTGTGGACTGGGAGGCAGGAAGGTTTGGAGGCAGTTGTAGGAGGTTGAGAAACAGAAGTTTGGAAGATGTATTGGAAACAGGACCTTAACTGGTAAGGTGCACAGGAAAAGAAAGGGATAGTTCAAATGCCTGCAGTGTTGATGTCCCCAAAAAAATGACTTACAAGCTTTTTTTCAGAGTTGTTAAATAATTGGTTTATGATTTACTGAGCAAGTGCACTGCTTTCTGTGAAATTATATTATTAGTACTCAAGTTTGCTTCCTGGCTGTTTCTCTTTTAAAGATGAAACCTATTGTGCTGCTTTTAATTGTGATGCTCAAACCACAGTGTGCGAAGGAGATATGTTTCCAGAATGTACATGCAGGCCTGATTTCTCAAAGACAGAATGGGATGATCGTTCTTGTTCAGGTAAGAACCTTGTGACTTTATCTGTCCCTGCAAAGCTGACCTGGTTATTCCCTGTCTCGGTCCCTTTTTGAAAAGGGGGCTCCACAAATGTGCTGATGTCTCAAAATCAGGGAATGTGTGTCTTTTTAAGACAGCCATAGAAACACATTCTCACATTTCACTTTAAACACACCCATAACATTACTCCAGTAGAATAAACTACTAAAGCCTGAGAAAATTATCACTGAAATCAGTGAGTGGACAACCCTTTAAATGCATTTTTAAACTCTTGTTAAGAACTGAAACCTAAATAGGTAAAGGATGGAACAAATTGAATCCTATGTTCACAGCCTTCTCTGCTAGGACATATTTTGGGAATAAATTCTACATGCTACCTGCAGGCAGCTATGGGGATGCTGACAGAACTGGAAGTCTCATGATGCACTACAAGGATCTGTTAAAGCTCTGTCCCTTGTTGGTAGTTCTAGCATTGCATTACCTGTGTTTAGATAGATTTTTGTGGGAAGAATGATTTATGTGATTTTTAGGAACTGTTAGTAGTTGGGGGTTTATTTGCTTGCTGGTTTTGAATCTCTTAGTGAGTACTCTGTTTATATTTTTAGCTATCGTTTACAGCCCTGAGATGTACCTTATTTTCTTCTTGTGAAAACTAAAATTTTCACGCTGCAGGAAAAAAAGTCTAAATTTTAAGAAAAAAACCAAATATTGCAAACACTCATTATAAAATCATGAAAGCTGGCTACAATAAATGCCAGTGAGATATGATCCAGTGTAGGCCTTTGTGGCCCCTAACCTGTCTAAATCTGATCCAGTTTTGCATCAGCTGCAATACAAATTATCTGCTATGAGACCAAAGTGCAGGTCATTGCTTGCTTATGTAGGATGCAGCCTAGACAGATTTCCATTCTGATGAAGCTGGATGGTCTTAAACAAAGACCATTTACTTCTAATTTTGTGCTTTTGTATTTCAGTTTCTGTTCTACATAGGTATAGTCTTAAAAAAAAAAGCCATTCTGGTGCTCTGAAGCATAACAAAGTTGTGTGTGTTCGCAGTGCAGTATTAAAAAAAAAAAGCAAGGGGGATTTTCTCCAATGTTGATTTTGTATTTTTTCCTTCTGAAAATACAGATTGCAGTAAAGACTGTTCTGCAGAACAAAACAAGTACTGTGTAAAAGAAAATGGGATTCCAACATGTAAATGCATGTCTAACTTTGAATGGAAGAATGAAAAATGTGTATCGTGAGTAGTCAGCTTTTTCTTGCATTCCTGTGTTCTAGGCAAAGCTTGGGGAGAGAAACGTCTAGTATGGGGTCACCCTCAATCTAGAAGAACAGGCTGCAGCTATGTGAATCGGAGAGGTGCCTAAGGTGGTTAGCAGATGGATAAATTCCCATGGTGTCACAAGTTATGGCATTTTAACTGCTTGGCATTAGCCGTCGGTGTGTACTCACAATACCTTAGAGGAAAGTTAAGGAGATCCAAGGTCATCTGTGAGTCAGTGAAGAGGATAAACTACTTCATGTTTATTTTGTGGGTTGCCCACATAAACATAAACTGTTCCTTCAGCATAACTGAGCCATGGGAAGTGGTACGCTGAAGCGCTTAGTGAGCAACAGGCGTTAGAGCAAGACTTGCTTGCCTCAAATCCCTGGAAAGTTTCCTGTGATATCAGTGGGGACTCTGTTTCCTGATAACATTCAGACCTATGTTATTTTGCCTTGGTGTTTTCTCTGCTGGTATTCCTGCCAGCTCAGGATCAGAACAGAGCAGTGGTGTTTGCTGGTGCAGCTGAGTAAGTGACTGGTTGTGCTCTGCTCCAGTGGGTAAGCAGAGGGACCTTACTCCCCATATCCATTAATTAATCTCTTTTTGTAGTCACTGCTGCTCACACTGAACACTTTTTACTGTAAAGTTGATATGTTTTAAACATAAGAAACTAGTACAGGAGGAAGATAAAGAGCTGCCAGTCCTTATAGACCTTACGTCAAGGCTTTCAATGAAGACAGCGGGTAGCAATTCCAAGTAGCTCAGAGATGTAGCACTTAGTTCTTTGGAGAAATTAGGCCCTTTTAACATTTTTCAGGCTGAGAACCTGAAACTTTGAGTCCCCAGCTCACCAATCATTCTGAAAATCTCACATTGCTTTACTCTAACAATGAAACTAAAGAATTCAATATTAAGACAGTATTAAAGAGGAAAGCTGTAATGAACACACCTTGCTGAGAAATTGCTGATAAAATGTGGAAACATAGCATTGTTTTGTGATCATCTGCTTAATGACTTTATCTTTCTTTTCTTTCTTTCCCCTTTTTTATTTTCTCTCTCATGCAGTTGTCCAGTGGGCTACTCTGGGGAGAACTGCAGTGACAGTAAGTACAATAATTTATGGTTTTTAATTATAGCATGGAAAAATACATAGTAACGTTTAATCTGCCTGAGATAACAAAACCAACAAATACTAGCCTTTAGTGGTGCCAGAAAAAAAATGAGTGAAATTCCACTGTTGCCTGGAAGGAAAAAATCCTTGTTGAAACTCATGTTCAGACAGACAGTAGCATTTCCTCTGATCAACTGTCCATTAAGTCCAGTAGTTTTTAGTCAAACACAGGGTATTTGACAGAAAAGCATTTAGTCCTCATCTAAAGATGTGCAATGTGGAACTCAGCACCAGTAATTGATTAATTTTTCCTGTAATTAAACACTCCTCCTATTAAAACGTCAGTGAATTACTCTCATTTGAGATGTTTCTGCTTTAATATCCAACCACTGGTTCTTGTTCGTGCTTCACCTTGCAAGCACTGCATAGTGTCTAGTACTCTATACCAGCGAAGAGATGATGGCCCCAACTGCGTTATCCCATGATTGTAATCACCCGGACAAGATAACCAGACAGGCCTTCCAAAGCTTTTTCTTTTTTCTGAGTCAGTTTCGCAGCTGTTCACTGCATCTTCTCAAGTTTCCACCTTCTAATAGATTAGGAGAGGACTTTCTTCATGCCTTCTAGTGTTTGCATGTGCCTAAACTCAGAACAGCAGCCGAAGGCAGGCTGAAAAACAAACAGTTATGGTTCTTCACTTCTCACTGCTCCTTTGGCTTTATTTGAGCAACAGGTATATCCTCATGTGGCCCTTTGGAGTCTCACACTGCTGCATTCTTAAACTTATACATGTTTAACATATCTGTGTCTGCAGCTATGAGACCTTCAAGGGGTTTCTACTGGTTTTGCCTAAAAGTTCTGGAGATGGGCTAATGGTAGTTGTGGTGCAGTACAGTGAATCTTGCCAGGTGTAAATGTTTGGCAGAAAAGATATTTCTCATCACATGGAACATATTTTTCTGGAGAAAGTTTTGGGAATTTTAAGGCTGTTTTCATAGAGCAAATTGAAGTGCTTAATTGGCACGAAATGCACACATTGTGAATTTAAACACAAATTTGGGACCTGATAATAATCAAGTACATTAATAACCTCATATTCTCCGTATAGCACTTGGTGGGTACTGCTGTAAAAATTGTGCTGAGCAATAACACAGGTGCTTTACACACGTGTTTGGCATAGCATTCTTTTGAGAAATCATATTCCCTGGTGTTTCGATGTATGCTGCTATGATTAAATGTGCTGGATTGTTCTGCTGGTAATGGCGTGGATGGTGGTTTCATATTGTGTAGCTCCAGTACAGGCATTCGGTGTATTAAATGGCAAGCTCATAAATGCAGACTGGATTCTTCAAGTAGGTACCACCAGTAAGGTTGGGTAGCTCAAGAGGCTGTCTTACTCTTCACAGCCTTATCTTGAAATTATGCCTTGCAGGACACAATTCTCCTTTCTCCTCACCAAGGCTACGCAGAGCTAAGTCTACATTTTAGTAGCAATTCCATTCATAGTTGAAGGAAAATATACAGAATCCATGTCTTCCTCCCTTAGTCATGCTGGTTCTGCAGTAAGATCAGTGAAAATCAATTTTCCTTGCCAAACACTTATTCAGATGTGGGCTATTTATGCAGTGTTCATAGTGCCACATAGAAGACACCTCAAATCAGTGTACCTTATGTTCCTAGGGCACGGGAAGAGCCAATTTGACACCTAACTACATATTTTAGCAGCAATACTAGCTTAAGCAACCCCTACACCCTCCCAGTTGTTCCTGTCCCTCAGCTATAACTATGAGTAAAGCAATTTAGCACACGGGGTTAGGAACCTGAGCTGGGATCAAAATAGCCATCCAGAAGAGATGGCCTTTAATGCAGATCAGTTCCCTAATTTACATTGTCCTGTGTTCACAGACAATTGTACTGAGACAAAACCAGGAGCCTGGGAATGAATAACTTCTTTCAAATTTTTCTTTCTCTTTCTTTTCTTTCTTTCTTTCTTTCTTTCTTTCTTTCTTTCTTTCTTTCTTTCTTTCTTTCTTTCTTTCTTTCTTTCTTTCTTTCTTTCTTTCTTTCTTTCTCTTTCTTTCTTTCTTTCTTTCTTTCTCTTTCTTTCTTTCCTTCTGTCCTTCTTTCTCTCCTTCT